AAACCGCCGCCATGGCCAGCTGAAGCAAGCCTCCAGTCGATCGCAAACAGGACCATCGACACTATTCAAGGGAGAAGAAGAACCGGCGACAACCACCATTTTCCCTTTTGTATTCATCTCTTTTCGACCCTCAAGCAGCTTTCATTCATTCTTCCTTATTCCTCCATCGATCTCAATAACCATTTTTCTTTTATGTTCAGAACACACCATTTTCATCTTCTTTGAATGTGATCCCAAGTTCCTTTTCAGTGTATGTATTTAACCCAAATCTCAAAGTTTGATTATGGAGCAGGTTCTGTAGGTGCCACCTCTGATACCAGTGATGGTTATAAATCAGCTGTAGGGGCAAGATCAGTTTTCAACTTAGGTTCTTCCAAGATCAGTTTGCAACCCAATTTAACTCCTAATCGGACATATATAGCCTCGTTTACCCCCAATTTCCTTTAATTCATGCTCAAGCAAAGTCGATTCCTCAACAATACAAGGTATCTTATCAGATTCAAGCCTTAATCCTTCTGTTCAAGTTTCGATTTTGGTTTGTGCTAGGGCTTGCTTTAACAGGAAGCTCTTGCAAGGGTTAGATCGAAAAAACCGAACCTTGAAACACCAACAAGGTTAGATCGACGACAAAGGTTTCACACTAGAAATCAGAACCCCCCTTCACTTCTCAAAATCCAATTGACAAACACAGTCACCCAAAGTCGCACCCTCCTTCTCCATCTTCTAAGCTCGATTACAGTTCTCCTTTTTCTCTTTTCTGAATCGATCATAGCTCCTTCTTTTATCTCTCTTTTTTTTTCATTTGCAACTGTTAGGAATGGTGATAATTGAGGAATAAGGGAGGTCTTGGGTGATTGAAGGTGGCGTTGGGCGGTGGTGTTTCTGTGGGTGGTATATATATATATAGAGAGAGAGATTTTCTTTTATTTTTTATATTTTTTTTAGTTAGAAAATAATTAAAAATAAAAAAAAAGAAAAAAACAAATGGAAAAGGGCAAATTCTTCATTTTTAGAAATTTTAAACTGTTTTGGACTGAAGACGCAGCAAAATGAAAACCTTTGGACTATTTGTACTAGTCCAAACCTGTTTGGCCCAAAGTAGCATTTTTGGACATACCACAGGGACCATTCTTGCAATTTGTCCAAAACTTTTGGACCAAAGTCGCAACAAAATCAAACTTTTGGACCACCCTTACGAGTCCAAACTTGTTTGGATCAAACTTGCTAGTTTTGACATACCACAAGGACCATTCTTGCAATTTTGTCTTCTTTTGAATGACCTTTCCTATGCTTCCATTAATATTGTTAAGTGAAGAGAAACTAGAATAAGCCTGAAAAAAAAAATACTTAAACCCATGACATTGTATAAGAAATTCAAAATGGGGTTATATAAATAACAATAAGTAAATATTTAAAAGATAACATGTGAACCATTGAATATACATGGGAGAAATGAAACATAAATAATTCAAAATGCTGCTTTTTTGTCTATTGACTAATTACAATTTTTTATTAGGAGATTGAAATACACCGAATAATAAGTAATGAGAATCCGTTTGGAAAGGAACGTACTTGAAAAGTAGAGGTGGCAAAAATCGGCCTAACCCAGTACCAACACAATCCAACGTTAACGAAATGAAACAAGTTGGAAAAAATGTAGTCGTCCGCAAAATTAAGGACATACCCACTCCCTGAGACAAGAGACTATCAGCGTAACCTTCATAAACCCTATCAGGTGCCCTGGCAGCCGGTGACGATTATTATAGGGTTTGTGAAAAACGATATCACTATCTAAATATGTTTTAGGTAAGTTGGATTCAAAGAACTTTTGATGTATTATACATATGATTGGTCGCGTTCCAATTTTGTAGTCATGGACATCATCCCAACTAAGGTTTTCCTTTTTCTATATCAAGAAAACCTTTTTCAAATATCACCTTCCAAGTTTCAATTTGCACAATCCTATATTCGATATTTTTGCATGCACACTATGTGTTTGATAAAATGCTTGACTGATGGTTCAATATTCATTTTCCATAATGTTTAACATGTACCCTTTTGGCAGCAAGTTAACCTGTATTTATAAAAGGGTGCATATGTTCTTATTTGCCACATTTAAGTAATTTATAGAATAAATACTCATTTATAAATACTTCATCCTAAAAATGATCACTTGGGATGATAACATTAATCTAAAGTAGTGACTAACGACCTTCAAAAGTCACTTATTGTTTGACTTAGACGAGGTTAGAAATGCTACGGCATATCATTTGTTCTACTTCATTGTTTATACTACTTTCATACCTTGTTTTTGTTCTTAATCATTGAATGAGTTTATTTGTTCAGCAGAACCTGAAGCAAGGCCCTTTTTGTGTCATATCTATTGACCAAATTCATTTGAGAATTTGGAGAAGTTAGTTGTGTTTATCCTAAGACATACGAAAAAAACCCATTTCACTGTAGTGACCATAATCACCATCAAAGCCACTATTATTTGTATGATACCATATCTTTCAGTCTCTCATCTTTTCTACAAGATATCTGCTTTCATGATTGTTAAATGGTGATTGATTTGCTATTCACATTGGCTTCATATGGGCGATGTGTTATCCATTATGCCATGTTGGTTCTCTTTCTCGTCACAAGTCATCTATTTGAGATGGGTGCAAGTCAAATAACACTCATTTAATTAATCATAATAGTTTGAGGTCTAGAGGACCCTAGTGATGGTGGAAACTTGTACATCGGAGGTTTGAACACATGATTTAGTGATTGAAGTCCTTAAAAAGTCAAGGTTTGATGGCTATGCACACAATGGTTGTTTCCATCATTGTAATATCACACTCTAGTCTCACATTGTTTAGCATAAATATTCTGAGGGTCGGTTGTTGCCAAATCATGATTAAATTCGGAAATCCAATTCGATAAATCCATGAATTAGAGTTTCTTGTAAATGGAGGGCTCTGGTCATTTCAGCTATAAACACATCAATATAGACCTCGGTGACATAAAGCTCATCAACCCCAATGTGTTCTTCTCTTTACAATAAAAAAACTTTTTTCTATTAATCATTAGGGTTATATGCAAGAAACAACAACATACTTTCACTGATTTGTTATTGTAGCATCCTACTTTCATTTATCCATATTAAAACATTGTCATTCGAAAATGTTATCCAATTATAGCAGTGTCATCCAACTATAAAATAGCAATGTACTTTCATTGATTTGTTGTTATAGTAATTTTTAGAAGTATTTATTAGAAATAAAAATTGAAATTACAATGATATAGTTGGTTAGATTAACAACCCATTCTTGTAGGAACTTGATACACATGTGTTAGGCTACACATATTCTAGAAGGTCAAGATAAAAAGTCAAACCGAGTCAACTATTTCAAGGAGTATTTTGGTCAGTTAGAAAAGTCAACAGAAGTTAGTACTTACATCCTAGGCATCAGGTTTGTTATAAGTGGGAGGGGAGTTATTTAGAAAGAGCAAGGTAGTGAGAAGTATTAAAAGAGAGGGAGGGCACTGTAGTCATCATCTTTGAATTGTAATGGCAAAATCTGTTTAGAGCAAGTTTCTGAGCCATGGGAAATTGGGAATAATATTTGTAAATAACTATTCATGTAGAATAAAATTGATTCTCTTGAAGGTAGTGCTAAGTCGATGATCCAAAAACTCAACGTTTTAGTCTGATTGCAGGAACAAGTGCACAAAAGAACAGGAGAAATAACTTTTTTTTTTTCTAAATCTATCATCATATGCAATCAATTGCTGCACCATGCATCAAATAAGTCATGTGACCATCGACTGAAGAATAGAATTGTCCATGTTCCTTACATGCATCTTACTTTACAATAAGCCTCTTCTGCATTTTTTTTTAAACAGAACGTTCAGAAGTAGTATTTTGTACCCCAATAGGAATACTACATTATGCATTTCCTCAACTACAAATGAATTTAGACAACAAAATCGACTGAAATTTAGCTAAAAAAGATGCAGCTTTTATCCCATTGACAGTGCAGCCCCTTTTTTGTCTTTTTGTTTTCTTACGAAAACCTACAATTTTTCTGGTTAAATTCAAGAAATAGCAACACACTTCCATAACTGCTGCTGGAATTTTGTTCATAACTGAAGCTACAATTTATCTTGAATTTTGTTTCATAATCTTTACATTTAGCACAAACAGAACCTAAAATTGACTGGATTTACATTCTTTGTCATCAGTTTTACATTTAGAGTTAGAGAGTACATTGCTAAGTAATCTCAGCATTACCTCCACATTTAGATTGAGTACAAACAGAACCTAAAACAGTTTTATCAACTGTGACACCAAAGTGATACAACTACCTTTACTCTAGGTTGATTTCCATTTTAGGCAATGTATTTTTCCTTTTATTCACATTAGCAACCAACGTTTTATTTTTATTCATTTCAGATAAGAATTACCAGGAAATGTTAAGATGTTAACAGGATAATGATCTGGACTTTCTACGTATATTTCAACTAAAAACAATTTTCCATCTTTAATTATATTTTCTAAACATTTTTCAGAGCCGAAATGACTGGGAAAGAGAAAACCCCTGTAAAAATGGTCCTAACATGGATAGAAAATATAGTGCATGAAAAAGTACATCCTATAATCTATCTTTTGAATCAACAATATTATTTATCAACAAAATAGCAAAGTATTAACTTACATAATCATTAGCCCAGCCACAGATTTGATTATTAGCAAAAGTCTTATTATCTAATTTATGCATACATTGATCTATAAACTACAAGAATTGAAAAACAGAGGGAGGGGTTACCTTCATATTAAACCTGTAATTTCCAGGGGATATGAGAGATCAGGAGCCAGTAGTTGCCTCTTTTACTATACTTTTTTTTTTAGCTCTGGGCATCCATAGATCCTCACACTCGAAAGTGAAGGCAGAAACACTTTTTGTAGATGCTTGAGAGAAAAATGGAGTCTTGTTGAAACTTATTTCACTTTCTCAAAGTGTGGCCAAAATTTCAGAAAGCAAAGAGTGCAGAATAGAGACTGCAGAATAAATCAAAATCAACATATTTAATGAAACCACCCTCATTACACTTGATCAATATCATTTTAAATACTAGGTTGTAATGAGTTAAGTTAGTATTACTCATAGGTTAGATGGATTGATGAATGAAGAGCATAATAATTGACATTTTAAAATAAATAATTCTAAAATCCTCATGTATGTAAAATGATTCATCATTTGGACATATTCATATTGTTTGTTGGTACTTCAACTATTAGTATAAAGATTTTAAAGTCTAACTTGTACAACTTCACCAAATAATGCGAACTCTACAATCAATCCTAATTCACATATTATTTTGGAATTTTGAATCTGCTGTTTTTCTTTAGAAAATTGAAGTAATTAGGCTTCTTAATTAACCATTTTGACTTATTTTGGAATTCATGGTGGGCTTTCCATGTACAAAACATCAATCATATTCAATAACTAGAAGCAAAAAAATAAGCAATTGCATGTGCATTTTAGCATCCATATATATCGACACACTAACAATATTTTTTTTATTATATACTATTTTTATAATTTATCAAGGTGGGGGGAGAAGCATACCTTCAGATTAAGTTTGTAACTGCTCAGGGTATGTAAGTGTAAGGCATACGTGAGACGGGGGGCCAGTAGGAGCCTCTTTTACTACTCCTTTCTTTCAGATTTGGGCATCCAACAATTATCAACCTCAAGAGTGAAGGCAGCAACATTTCTAAAGAAGATTGTGATCTGTATTTCGTAAGGAATAAAGAAGTACAGGGCCTTAATTTATACTAGAGCCTATCTCACTAATCTAGGCAACTATTTAAACATGGAAATTATACACCTTGATTTACTCCTAATTGACAGCCTAATATACAGCTAATTTACAGTTAATTTTCAACACTCCCCCTCAAGCTGGAGCGTACAAATTGTATGTTCCAAGCTTGTTACAAATATAATTAATCCTTGGCCCTGCGAGAGACTTTGTGAATATGTCTGCTAGTTGATCATTTGACTTGACAAAACTTGTAGCAATCTCCCCTGAAAGAATTTTCTGTCGAATGAAATGGCAGTCAATCTCTATGTGCTTGGTTCGTTCATGAATGACCGGATTTGATGCAATATGAAGGGCAGCTTGATTGTCGCATATCAATTGCATCCGTTGAACCTTTATAAGTTTCAACTCTTCAAGGAAATGCTTCCTCCATATAAGCTCACATGTTGCTTTTGCCATGGCTCGATATTCGGCTTCGGCAGTTGATAAAGCAACTACAGATTGTTTCTTGCTTTTCCATGAAACAAGATTACCCCCAATAAAAACGCAATACCCTGTGGTTGAGCGTCTTTCAAATGGACAACCTGCACCATTAGCATCTGTATAGCTTACTACTTGAGTGTTTCCTTTGTTCTCATATAATAGGCCCTTTCCCGGAGTTTTCTTAATGTATCTCAAAACCCGGACGGCTGCATTCCAGTGGCTGTCACATGGCGTACTCAGGAATTGGCTAAGGACACTCATCGGGAACGTTATATCAGGACGAGTTACCGTGAGGTAGTTAAGTTTGCCAATAAGCCTTCGGTATTTGCTTAGGTCTGATAAGGGCTCCCCTTGATCTGGAAGCAGCTTGACATTTGGATCCATTGGACTGTCTACAGGTTTGCAATCAGTCATGCCGGTTTCTTTCAAAATATCCAATGCATACTTTCGTTGGGAGATAAAGACACCCTGTTGGGATTGTGCCACTTCTATTCCCAAGAAGTACTTGAGTTTTCCCAAATCTTTTGTCTCAAAGTGCTGGAATAGATGTTGCTTGAGTTTCTGAATTCCATCCTGATCATTTCCGGTAATCACGATGTCATCAACATAAACAACCAAATATATGCAATGGTTAGAGGAGCAACGATAGAAGACAGAATGATCAGTCTCGCTCCGCTTCATACCAAATTTTTGAAGGACCGAGCTAAAGCGACCAAACCATGCTCGTGGGGATTGTTTAAGCCCATAGAGAGAACGCCTCAGTCGACATACCAATTTAGACTCCCCCTGAGCAACAAACCCAGGAGGTTGCTCCATATAAACTTCTTCTTGCAACTCCCCATGTAAGAAAGCATTTTTTATGTCCAACTGGTAGAGAGGCCATTGATGAATTGCAGCCATGGAAAGAAAAATCCGTATGGAAGTCATTTTAGCAACCGGTGAGAACGTGTCACTATAATCAAGCCCATAAACTTGCGTATAGCCTTTAGCAACCAACCGTGCTTTTAACCGGTCTATATTTCCATCAGGATTGACTTTGACGGTATAAACCCAACGACAACCGACTGTCGATTTTCCTGGAGGAAGCGGAACCAAATCCCACGTACCTGTAGAGTGCAATACATTCATCTCATCAACCATTGCTTGTCTCCATCACGGGTCTGTAAGAGCCTCCCTTAGATTTTTAGGAGTGGAAACAGAAGACAAAGACGATACAAAGGCAGTATACGAAGGGGATAAACGATGGTAGCTCAAGAAATTATAGATTGGATAAGGATTACGAGTGGAACGAGTACCTTTCCGTTCAGCTACGGGACGGTCTAGATCAGGATCCAACACAGAAGGCGCGATCGGCGTAGGAGGTGAGTCCGGTAGGCTTGTATCATCAGGTTCACTCAAAGGTTCTGTTGTAGGTGAAACCATGTGCTCATAAGGATGTTCACCGGAAGAAGAGTCAGTTGGTTGGGCCGGCCGACGTCGATGGTAAGTACGCAAAGGTGGCGGTGTATTTGTGATAGGATCCACGGGTGGTGACGAATCATTGATTGGATTTGTGATCGGATGCTCAGAGTGGAAGTTTGGTGGTTTCTGTGGATCATCTTCACGAACAAAATCAAGAGAGAACTTACTGCGGTCGGTATGACCGAAGAATGGGGTAGTTTCAAAGAAGGTTACATCAGCGCAAATGAGATGTCGTCCAAGATCAGGAGAGAAACATTTGTAACCTTTTTGTGTTCGAGAATAACCCAAGAAGATACATTTGAGAGATTTTGCGGGTAGTTTATCTTTTCCGGGTGTGAGATCATGGACAAAACATGTGCAACCAAAGACACGAGGTGGAAGGGAAAACATTGGTTGAGTGGGAAATAATAAAGAATGAGGGATTTGATTTTTTAACACCGAAGAAGGCATGCGATTAATTAGGTAGCATGCTGTGATAACGGCATCTCCCCAAAAATGCAGCGGAACATTGTTATGAAGAAGGAGAGTACGTGTCGTTTCGATCAGGTGTCTGATTTTCCGTTTAGCCACTCCATTCTGTTGTGGGGTATGTGCACATGAAGATTGATGAATTATACCCTCTGAGGTCATGAATGATTGAAAAGGAGTTGAAAAATACTCTTTTGCATTGTCACTTCGGAGGATACGTATGGGAATACCGAATTGAGTTTTAATTTCAGAACAAAAGGACTTGAAGATAGAAAATAATTCAGATCTATTTTTCATTAAGAATAACCAAGTACACCTTGAGTAATCATCAATGAAGGTGACAAAATAATTAAAACCCAAATGTGATGTAACACAGCTAGGACCCCACACATCTGAATGAACTAAAGCAAAAGGAGATTCAGACTGTTTATTGACTCGACTAGGAAATGAATTACGAGTATGTTTTCCCAACTGACAAGACTCACACTCCAATGAAGACAACTTTGCAAGGCTGGGTACCAAATTCTGTAACTTTGAAAGGCTAGGATGTCCCAAACGATGATGAATAATGGCAGGAGAATCAGTTGCAATACATGTGGGTGAAGAAGGTGGTGTGAGGTAATATAGCCCATGGTACTCACGTCCTACACCAATCGTCCTCCCAGTGTTTCGATCCTGCACAAGAAACAAATCATCCAAAAATGTGACTTTATATGGTGAGGTTTTAGCTAGTTTACTAACAGAAATAAGGTTGAATGGACAACCAGGTACAAAAAGGACATCAAGAGATAATGAAGGCACAGGTTGGGCTTGTCCAATGCCTGTAGCTTTAGTCTGTGAGCCATTAAACATGGTAATATGGGACAATGTATTCGAGTATGTAATGTTAGAGAATAAATTTGTGTTACCAGACACATGTTCGGTAGCACCTGAATCAATCACCCAAGGACCCATTGGGGATGATTGAGATATGCAAGCAATAGGAGATTGTTTTTCTTCTCGTAGTTTCAGGAGTTCTTCATAATCAGCAGCAGAGATAGACACATTGCCTGGTGGGGTTCCCTCATGTGCAACATTAGCTATCTTAGGTGGTTTAAGCTGAAAGCATCGGTCAATTGTATGACCAATCTTATTGCAATGACTGCATCGAGGCCGGTTTCTATTTCCTCGACCACGGTTGCCTCCCTCCTTAGATGCAACAAGAATTGCAGAATCAATGATGTTGGAACCGGTAGTGATGTTTGTTGGTGCTGAAATACGAACTAGCTGCTCAAAAACATTATCAAGATTTAGAATCCCAGGAGTAGCTAAGATTTGGTTACGAACAGACTCAAGATCTGGACGTAATCCTGCAAGTGCAAGAACCAGAAAGAATTTTCCACGTTGCTCTTCTTGCAATTCGAGATTCGTAGAGGATGGCATCAGCTCATTGAACTCTTGTCGGATAGTCTCTATGTTCCCAAGATAGGTTTGCATATCCTGTTCTTGTTGCATGATTTTCTTCATATTTGAGACCACTGTGTATAAACGATTGATATCGTTCGAGTAGAGTTTCTTTGCTTTCTGCCAAACCTCGTAGCAAGAGCGATACGATCGGTATTGAGCAACAAGCGTTCGATCTATAGAATTCCAGAGAGCATTACAGAGGAAGGCGTCAATCTGCTTCCACTTGGATTGGTCTTTGACATCAATGTTGTTCAGTTGCTTTGTCAAGTGATCTTCAAGACCTTGACCAATAAACCACAACTCCACAGTAGATGACCAAGTCATATAATTATCAGAACCTGTCAATTTTTCAGCAGAGAGAACTGGAGAGGAAGAAAGATTGAACATATTGTTTGTTCCAGACATTGTTTAACAAAACAGAATAAAAGAAAAGCGGAGTATGATAACCGAATCTTATCAGCAAAGACGAAAGGATTTGGAGTATATGGTGACCGGGTCTGGTAAGAAACACAGAAAACCAAAAGGTCTAAAAAAAAGAAACACAGCAGGAATCAGGAATAATAATACTGCTCTGATACCATAAAGAAGATTGTGATCTGTATTTCGTAAGGAATAAAGAAGTACAGGGCCTTAATTTATACTAGAGCCTATCTCACTAATCTAGGCAACTATTTAAACATGGAAATTATACACCTTGATTTACTCCTAATTGACAGCCTAATATACAACTAATTTACAGTTAATTTTCAACAATTTCAGGTAGATCTATTACCTTAGGGCATTCAATAATTGAGAGATGCTGGAGGGAGGTGAGGTGTTGGAGTCCCTTTGAAACTGATTCCACTTTCTCAAATTCGATTATGCGAAGCTCAGTAAGAGATGAAGGAAGAAGATGGAACAACTGACACAAATTACTTGCATCTTCCGACTGTCCACCCATTAAAATTAGTTTAACAAGTGAGGTTGGAAAAGTCTGTGGGCCCCACTTTGAAATGGGCTTCTTCAATCCCCCTATGACAAGGTGATGCAACTTTGGAGGCCAAAGCCCACGAGAAAAGGAAGAATCCATACTTTGACAATTTTTTACTGTCAGATGTGTTAACGCATTGAGTTCTGGCAACTCGTGGTCAGGAAATGACTCCAGATTTGGACAATCGCTTATTTCGAGTTTCAAAAGGTGATTGAAGGAACTCAATTCAGTGATTGATTTCAGATTTGGTCAATCAATTGTACACAGAGTATAAAGCATGAGTATGTTTGAGTTGATCAGAGGCTTCTCTTGTCCTCCTATCAACTCCTTTTCCAATAATTTATTACAATGCACGATGGTAAGTGACTTAAGGCTATTTGGACAGCTCCAATGCTCCAAGCTATTACAATTCCATATGGTCAAGGTCGTAAGAGACGTCAGGTTGCTCCCACAATTATCCTCTTTCTCTCCTAAGCTCACCAAATTCGAACAACTACCTACATCCAACTTCCTTAAATTCACAAAAACCTTACTTGCATCTGCTTCTGATTCCCACAAGTATCTTATTTCATTACACTCTTCAATTCTGACTTCTTCAACTGCCCCAAGATACTCTATAACACCTCCCTACATGAAACGACCCAAAAATGCGACCCAAAATTTTTTGTTTTTAATATAATCAAAACTGTAATCAGAGTATCATATAAATAAACCATACGTGATGTATTCCAAAACATAATAAAATACTGTGCGGAAAACTGTATCATACTACATCAACTCAAACAACTAGATCAATCCCAGGCTAAAGCTGAGGCGGTGGTGTGTGCGATGCCGTCATCCCGAACTCTTCCCCTTTGCTTGCGGAAGTACCTGAAACCAAAACTGAAACTGTAAGCACGAAGCTTAGTGAGCTCCCCCAAAATACCACATACCATACAATAACAATATCATATAAACACATATCGGGCCTTGCCCACTACATCGGGACGAAGCCCGGAAACTGCATCGGACCGAAGTCCGGAACTGACTCGGACCTTGTCCCCTGCATCGGACCAAGGTCCGGAACTAACTGCATCAGACCGAAGTCCGGAACTGATTGGGACCTTGTCCCCTGCATCGGACCGAAGTCCGGAACTGACTGCATCGGACCGAAGTCCGGAACTGAGCATAGCATGGCATATCATAACAACTAGCATGAACACATATACTGCATACTACATCGGGCCGTAGCCCGGAACACATAATGCATAACACATAACACATAGCTCACAAATCCTGTCTGAGCCACGAAGGCATCAAACATACTAACTACTGCATCGGATCAAGTCCGGAAACTACTGCTAACTGGACGGGCCGGCATTGTGGCCTTAGACCCGTCCCTACTGGAAGGAAACTCACCTCCTAAACTGGCGGCTGAGTGTGTGTGTCTCTGAAAGCTAACGGCTGCTGCTCCTGAATCTCCTCAGCTACAAGTCCATGAACACACTCAATCAAATACTAAACACTGCACTTGGGGTAAAATGACTCTTTTACCCTTGGTCAAAGTCAACTTACTTTTGGGGCTGACTCGCCGAGTTGGGCCGCCCAACTCGCCGAGTCTCACTCTCACTTCCAACTCATACTCACTGCGACTCGTCGAGTGTGGCATCGACTCGACGAGTACCCTCTTGATCCAAGAACTCAGACAATCTTCATCCGACTCGCCGAGTCGTATGAACAGACTCGACGAGTTGTTCTTGATCCTAAGGAGATTGCCTTGGACTCGCCGAGTTGTATGAACAACTCGTCGAGTCCCTCCATCACTGAGTCTACCCTCAACTCGCTGAGTCCACTCTCTAACTCACTGGGTGCACTCGACACTGCTAAAAACGAAGGAATCGGGGACTCGCGACCCGACTCGCCGAGTCGCTCATCCCGACTCGCCGAGTCGCTGCCATGCAGCTAGTTTTTACTCGATTTCTCTTGAATCCAACACATGCAAATGATAGATCTGGGTCCAATAAGCTGTTTTACCACGTAAAGTTTCCAACTTTACGTGCACAACCTCATGAATAAGGGAAATAGGGCTAAAAGATGCACAAAATGAGTAGATCCATGGCTAATATGCAATGTAACTCCAAAAAGACAGTAGATCTGGGCTCTACAACACCCCAACATTCAGATCCAAAGGTATTTCGACTTATTAAGACATTCATGCAAACATAAGGCTTGGAACAAACATCAAATAGCTCTTAGAAGAGCTCTAATGGAAGTTTAAAGCATATAACAAGAAGGGAACTCCGAAAATACCTCAATAAACTCAGATTTGCCCTTGGATCTTTGCACTACAACTCGTTTCCTTGCTTCTTTCTTCTTCTCCTTCTTCACACCTTCACAAAAATGGCACCAAATCACTTATAAGCTCTCAAGGGAGGATTAGGGTTCTCTCACTGTGTTCTCAGGGTGAAAGTGGCGAGAATGAGGCTATAATGTGGTTTAAATAGTGGGCAAACCCGGGGATTTAGGGTTTCACCCAGACGGACGGACTCGCCGAGTCCGGGATATGGACTCGCCGAGTCCCCGGCTCCCGCGTGCACAAAATACGCGACCCAACTCGGCGAGTCAGGCTAGAACTCGCCGAGTCCCTCTTGAAAACTTAGACAATTAACAATTAATTAACATACCGGGAACGGGTCGTTACAATTCTCCCCCACTTGTCTCAGACTTCGTCCTCGAAGTCTGCTACGGCTGGATCTGCGAATAACTCCGGGTAGTGCGTTCTCATCTCTTCCTCAGCCTCCCACGTCCATTCAGATCCCTTCCGGTGCTGCCACTGCACCTTCACTAGCTGAATGACCTTGTTCCTCAAGGTCTTGATCTTCCGATCCAGAATCGCGACCGGCCTCTCAATATAATTCAGGCTGCTATCAACCTGAATATCCTCTAGGGGAACGACTGCTGACTCATCCACCAAACACTTTCTCAACTGCGACACGTGGAAAGTGTTGTGGATCTGACTAAGCTCCTCAGGAAGATCTAACCGATAAGCAACCCGACCCACCCGGGCCATAACCCTGAAAGGACCAATAAATCTGGGGCCCAGCTTGCCCCTCTTCCGGAACCTGATGACACCTTTCCAAGGTGAGACTTTCAGAAGAACCATATCTCCCACCTGGAACTCCAAGTCCGAACGCCTCCTGTCAGCGTAGCTCTTCTGCCGACTCTGCGCAGTCTGCAGCCTACTACGGACCTGCTGGATCAACTCAGTCGTCTTGAGCACCACTTCGGTGCTCCCGATGACTCGCTGACCGACCTCGCCCCAGCAAATCGGGGTCCTACACTTCCTACCATACAACATCTCAAAAGGAGGTCGATCAATACTCGCATGGTAACTGTTGTTATACGAGAATTCCGCTAACGGAAGATACATATCCCAACTGCCCCCAAAGTCTAGAACACATGCCCTAAGCATGTTCTCGAGAGTCTGAATCGTCCTCTCGCTCTGCCGTCAGTCTGAGGATGGAAAGCGGTGCTGAA